CAAGAAGAAGCAGTCTAAGAATGCTTCTCAAAGAATAAAATTTTTAATAAAGTCTCATAAGTGACAAAGGAAGTTGAAAAAGGAAGGATGTTCCAGAAGCTGGAGCCAAGAATCAAACAGAATGCCTTACTGGAGAGGCTTCTCTAAAGGACATTATGAAGCCTTGATCTGGGAACACTCCCTGTGCCCACCCACATCACAACACTTGCTCCTCAAGACTTCAGGCTTGTTGTGGACCAGTGACTATTACATTCCTCCCCTAGTCTCCTTTTTAAATAGTAGTGTTTACTGCAGTTTTCCTGTTCCTGTCTCATAGTTTAGTATATAGAAATTGGATAAATTGTCTCTTTACTTAATTGGTCTCCAGATCAAGAGAGGCCACATCAGAAGAGCTGCACGCACCAGGATACAGGTGATGATATCCTGCGCTCCAAGCCTGATGCAAGACTGGATGAGGTTTTAGACATCCTGGATGAAGTGGAGCCTCCTTTACACATGACAGTGTGTGGCTAGAGAGTGGACTGTGACTGAGAAATTATATTGATGACCCAGTATTAATTCTTCCATTGTGAGTGGATAGTCTGAACCACTTTTTGATTGTGGGTTCAGTCATATGAATGGTTTGGCTTATTGAGGCCAGCAAATGGAATGCCCAGTGGCTTACAAACTGTGGTTTCCTCTCTCGCTGCTCTTGCACTAAGACTCACTCTAGGCACATCCCCAGTGTAGTCTGCTGAGGAATGTGAGAAACATGTTGAAGAGATGCAACATCCTCTTTATGTCCATTTATGCCAGTTGACCCAGTTGTCCTGTTGATACCATCCTAGAACAGCTGGTGTCGAGTTGACTCTTGGACATGTAGGAGGATTCAGGGGAGCCCAGATGAGCCATTAAAGCATGCTAAGCCTAAGTTATTGATCCAAAGGGAACTAAATATATGATTCTTTTTTAAAGCAATGATATATTTGATGGATTATTATGTAAAAATAGCTAATTAATTCAATAGTCTATAGTATTTATCTGATTTTCCAGTTGTGTTACATTCAAAAACAGAAAATAAGGAAATGCTGGCAGACTCCTAGTCTTCAGTAGTTTCTCTTTCCAAGTATTCACTACCCATTCTTTTTTGGGCTTCTAGGCTCCAGTGTTTTGTGGTTATAAAATCCACTGTGTTCCCTCTCTGTGAGAACTGCACTTTTCAATTTTCAAGGATCACCTGACCTCTCCAACTGGAATTATTTTACAGTGATTTCAAAAGTGAAAAATAAAGTCTCACCGTTTCTCTGAATTTTTACCTCCTCTTGTAGCTCCAACTTTATTAGAATGAATTCTTCATAGATTTCGAGAGTTTTTGTACTGAACTCTGTAGCTAGTGTGAAATATAAGTTATTAAAAAGTTTCAGTGTTTCTGAGGACTTCGAGTTGCTGTGCATCCTTTCCATTAGCAAAAAGGGAGATAAAATAGGTATTGTGTTTTGTCTGTTTCACTGGTTCATAATGACATTCTTCTTAGTGTTTTATAACAGCATCTCTTATAATAGTCTGAAACTTAATCTTAAAATCCTGATGGTTAAAAAATTACCAAATTTGGTTGATACTGTGACATGTTTTCCTTAAAAGTTTTCTATAATTATCCTTTTGTAGTGGTTCACTCTTTCATTAAAGGGTGGTGTTTCCTGTGTTCTCTCTTGGAGAGTCATGGAAATGTTATAGATGCATGTTGTCTTCAACAGATTGTTCCTTACATATAGGTCTTTCTGTGACCAAAAGAAGAGCAGATTAATATCATCCTGCCTAAGAGTGTGAGGATAGATATTTGAATATTCTGGAGAATAAGATAAGGCAATCAAAATAACACAGTCAAATAAGAATTGACCGAAGTCTCAGGATTTTTCAGGATCAGTGTTTCTCCTCTTAGCTTCCAATTTTTCCCATCATCATCTTGCCTTATTATTGATACCTTGACAATTTAAGAAACATGCTGTAAAATGTATCTTGATTATTTTGGTCAGATATTTTTCCCCCACCATTTTCTGGTGGTCTGCCTGGAAGTACCTTCCTGCAGGAGGGCCTCCTAGACACCTGACAATTTTTCTCTACCCTCTTGTGAGAAGTATGGCTATATCTTCGTCTTTGTTGTGTGTGACATGTATTCTCTTAAAGTAGGGCATTTTGGGGGACATATGAATACAAATTTTGTGAACTTTTATATTTGTTTTCCAGTTCCTAAAGCATTCAGGCATTCAATTTGAAGTCTGACACATTGTCGAAAAAGAAGTTTTTAAGATATCCCAATTTTCTCCAATCTGTTTATCACATCTCGTTTCTATCCTATGATGTTCACAATTTATTAAAAAGTAAATGTGTTCTTCAATATCTATCCAACTAACAATAGGTCCAACCATCGTCATAGAGACATTCAACAAAACCATTATCTACCAGCTTAATAATGGTTAACCTAATCTTACTTAGCTTTCTGAACTTCAGTTTCACTCCATATAGAATAGGAATAATTTAATCACTTTACATACATCATTTTAAAGATTAAATAAGATACAATATACATTTGTATCCCAAAGTAGGTAGGGAATGCATTTGATCTCTAGAAGGTCAAAATAGAGAAAAAGGAAAGATTTTCATGGTTATACAAATTTAACCATTAAATGATGGTGATTGAGCATATTAATTCCTCCAAATTTTATGACTAAGGAAATTTCAGTCTTCAGAATAGAGAACATATACTATAAATATTTAGAGTAAATATTACAAAACTGTATATATTTTCAGAGAATATTTTTTTGCGTGGAAATTATTTCTGTGTATCAGCAAGCAGTAGCCTGCATTTGTTACCTTTATATTCTCAACTTGTCCCACTCTCAAAGAAAATACACTTACTTAATTTAGTGATTATGGGTTCGTCACTAGTTGTGGGTTCTGGCCAGCAGAAGTCCCACTGAGATAGAATGAATTACTCGAGATTCTGTGGAAAAAGTCAAGAGAGCAAGAGGGATCGGGAGCCAACTCCACGAAACTCTCAAATGCTCCCACATTTACTGTGTACAGTCAAAGGAGAAATCACTAACAGTTGTGTGATGGAATGCAGGAATTTAGGGAAAGACAAGGTGGGATCAAGATTGTAGAGTCTGGCTCAAGGTCAGAAGACCCTTTATGTTTTGGTAAATCATGTTCGTGCTGGCATCAGCGAGCCTTACAGCTTGTCAGGGCAGAACATATGAGAAGCAGCTGCTTAACAACTTTTTTCTTGGACTCAGGCGGCTGTGCATGTCCTAGGTTGCCCTGCTCTGGGGATCTTACCCGCCATTGGCTAACCAGCTTTCTCACCTCTGAGTCTGCAGCTTTTTATAACTTGTTTACCATTCCAGCCCAAGACTGGTTCCTTTGGGGGCCTACAGTTTATCTTTAGGGAAGTCATGGGAAGAGGGGAACAAGATACATTCTTATAGATATGTTAAAGCAGACCACCAGACCAGCCAGTTCCTTGTTTTGGGGATAGAAGACTATCTAACAGGCACGCCCAGTGTTTATAGCCGAGGGCCTGGGTCGTTGCTCTGCAAGGAGCACAGTGCTATCTAAAACCTCAACTATGCAAACAAGGCAGTTACTAAGCACATTTGTTCTTCTTTAAGGAGAGAAGTGGCTGGGATCTGTTACAATTAACCCAGTCATGGGCTCCCACAAGTGATACAGTGTTAAAGACTTAAATAACCCATTTTGAAAATTATATGATTAGTAGAAAACACTACTTATTAATTTAACAAAATAGCAGAGTTTTATGTTAAGATTTAGGGTACTACCCTTAAAAAATCTAAAACAAAATTTTCAAGAAAATTTACAAGAGTCAATGCTTTATATTAGAAACAGAAACTCTCAAGTAATAAACTTCTGATTGAAATACAAAAAAATAAAATGTTCATTACAAAAGGATAATTACAGAAAGCCTCTAAGTAATTGGTAATTAATATTCCAACAGGATTTTTTGTTTTATTATTTAAAGTAACATTTTAGTAATAATAAAGGCAAACTTATATTCTTACATTTAAGGCAGCATAATTAAAATTTTTTTCCCTAAGATTCAATTTTTGGATCATGGTACACAGGTGATTTTTCTGGCACATTTACATGTTGGATGAAAGATGTTGCCAGAACATCTAATGTGAGCAACAAAACAGTGTTTTTTTTCTTTCTGATTTATTCTGGGTAATACTGGAATTGAAACAAAAGTAGGATTCAGATATACATACATACATACATATATATATATCTTTTGAAATTTTAATGTAGTCATTTTGATGTTTAGGAAATATACTGATGATTAATTATTTAATTTCAAGTAGCAAGTATGAAATTCAATTTTAAAAGAAGTATTTTCCCCCTCAGAATGGATGATGACACACACACTTTAGAAAATCACCCAAAATTACCCAAATAAAAGATTATCAATGAAATTTTGAAACAAGTTTATCTTCAACTCTCAAATGTTGGAAATTGATTAACAGTGTAAAATGTTCAGATAATTTCTAGGAGCAGAGTAAAGGTGACTGCCTTGAGTTAGATGTGGATGACAATGAGTGAATGAAGATGAGCTATGAAACAGAGTGAATTATTTAAGACCCAGATAAAATATAACCTCCCTTAGAGATTAATCAGTTTCTAAGCTTTGGGCAAGATAAAGTAACACAGAATAGATGGAGCAAAACAGACCTTGACAGCCTTAGAGAGCATAAAAGAGAATAAGAAATATTTTAGACTGAGGTAAGCTAATTGAGGAACGACAGCTGGGAACTTAATCAACTCTGTATTTAATTAATGTGACAAAATTCCTTCACGAACTGTAAAACTGATGTTTCCCTAAAATGGCCCGTGTTCCACTGCACTGTAACCTGTTTGGTCCATGGCCACACATGTTCTCCCAGCCCTCTGTGGTCTCTGTGAACTAAGACCCGCAGATCTTTTGGTGAATGATCTCTTTCCTTCTACAGCCAAAGAAGCACTTCCCAGTCAGGCTGGGCCAAGTCTTGATCTTACTCCTCCAATTAGAAGCCACGAGGGGAGATACGGGCAGATCTGGAAGAAGACAAGCATCATGACCATCTGCTGAAGGTGAGGCATTTTCATGGTCTCGAGAACGACCTCTCCTCTAGGAAGGGGGGTGGGGCCACTTCTGCTGGCCCAGAGGATGCAAGGCAATTTGGTACCCTGGCTCTATCACAGGAGTCAGATGATACGACCTTGTCAGACCTTCTAATTTGGCTTTCTTTTGAATTTTTTTAATCTCACAATTATTCCTGGACTTAATTTTCAGCATAGTCTGTTCCCTGCTGCTGGAAATGAAAGACCAGTTAGATACTGACATGAAGACCTTCTGGCTTCCACACCATGCCTTGAGTTAATAATTGACTACCATGGGCCTGTCATTTTCTTAAAGTTTCAATGGCAGTTAACAGCAGTGAGCTGGTTTCATGATTCTTGTGTATTTACCAATTTATCCATGTCTTTTCATGCTCAGTGTGATGCATAACTCAGTCCATCCTTTTTGCTCATCTCCATCCCAGTTCACTTCGGGTTATTGGGCCATCGGGCATCCCAGTCATTCTCAGTCACCCCAAGTCATAGGGTCCATCTTGTCATCTATCATGTGAGTGAACTGATTCTAAGATTCTATCCTAAAGGGTCTGTTTCCTAGGACCACTTCTGGTAGCAGCTCTTTGCTTTGAGTTCCCCCGAAAGCAGTCTTGGAAATGAATTTATGAGTACAGGTAGTTTGGAAGGTGAGGTCGGAAAACAATGTCACAGGAAATGAGTGAGGGAAGACAAGAAAATGTCATAAAGTAAGTTATCACTGTGGGCAATGGCAGTTCGGACCTTTTGGGGAAATCTAGGAAGCAGCAAAATGTGCATCAGAATTTCAGAGAGGTGAGAGATCTAGGAAATTTTCCAGCTCCTATTAGTCCATGTTTGAAGGGTCCTCCTAGAATATATCAACTCCTGAACACTTCTGGCCTGCCCTTCAATCATCAGGCAGAATGCGAGGGGCTGGGGATATGAGCAGAACAATGATGGCATGTGCTATAGTAAGAAAAAAAGAGTTAATTAAAATATTTAATAGTCCTTGTACTATCAAGAAGGATAAAGTTTTTGATTAGCATATGCCTTTGATAAGTATTCATGTTTTAATTTCTGGGATAACCTATTTTAAAAAAAACAACAGTTATTTGGAATAAATATCACACTATGCTGTTAATTTTCTTTTATCTCTAACAGTAAACAGCTCCTTGATAGGTCAGACTTATAACTTGGTCTTGGTCTCTTTTCCCTTGTAACAAATTTTCCAAATGCCATTAGGCTCTAGAAGTTTTTGTATTTATTTTCCAGAAATGCTTAGAAATATCAAAATGTCACTTAGAATGAATCTTAAACACTTGGCCATATCATGACACTAGAATACTTTTTTTCAGACACACAGAAATTCAAAAAACATTCAACTGAGCACATTTTTTGAAAAAATAATTAGAAAATTGGCTCCAGCTGCCTACATATTTTTATACCCAGGTTCATACGGCATATAAACAAAATGAGATTCCCATCAGATTTTTGGAAACTAATATTCACCATTAATAAACATGGAACCTTACTTAATGATACCCAAGGGAAAAAATTACGAGCCAAGGATTTTATAATTAGCTGCCTTTTCTTTTAAATCAAAAGCCTACAGAGAAACAATTTTGAATATACAATATCTCTGGAAATAATGGCTTCCTAATGATTCTACTACTGCAGGATGTGTTCCATTTAAATAAGAGATGACTGGGGAGACCATACCAGACAGAGATGACTGATGGTGAGTGCTGAATACTTTTGATTATAACATTGATAGCAAACAAATCAAAGGCTGTTATATTACACTAAAATTATCATTCTAATCTGTGTTTTTATTGTTTTCAAAAAGCATGCACTCCTAACATGTCATATTTAAACAGAGAATTTCAGCATAAAGTGCATATAATACACTACAGAGTTTTGCACCATCTGCACTAGGACTTCCAGCAAAGCAAGGTGTTGTTTTTTATCCCTTGAAAACAATTCTCATCTAGTCATTTGCTTGGTTAATAGGGATATTTTCATTTCACTGTGGAAGAACAGATGCGTACCTTTCATCCTGTGTCGCTGTAGGAGAAGTAAGCTGAATAGTAGTTTGCCTGTGGAAAACATACCACTATATTAATGCTGGAGCTACACGGTCATTCCTGGACTCCAAGAGGAGAGGGGTTGAATTTTCGTTGCTCCTTTTGGAGACCGTTAAATCAAAAGTATTACATCTGAAGATATTTAGGAAGCACTTTAACTACTAAGTAACTTTGGTTTCTTTATTTTTAAATATAGTTCTTAGAGCAGCACTAAGCCAATTAAAGACTCCCCCCAATTAATTCTCATATCACCCCTGTAAAGTAAATGCCAGTGGTGTAACAGAAGAACTCATTACACACATGAGCAAGTTGAGGCAGTGGGAAGTTTGATGTTAATGCCAAACAGCATGTCATCAATGAGGCCAGGACCAGAAGCAAAGCTTTCTAATTCCCAGCAGTGCTCTTGCCACTAAAACCAATGATTTCTTCTGTAAGAATTGCAAAACTGTTTTGTAAGTTGAAATGTGATGTCATTTTTTCCCTCTGAAAAGAGAGTAAGGCCTTCATTTGCTAATCAAAGCTTTTGCAATCACAAACTCTTGTGTAAAATGGTGGAATGTGATGTTAGGTGATAGAGTTGGAACCAGGATCACAGTCTATGAGCAATCACAGTTTCAAACCCCTGACCACAAAGCCTTAGAGGAACATTGGTAGGGAATTTGATAGATAATGTGTAACTAGCGACATTCACGTAATTGTCGCTGTGTCCTTGTGTATTAGTATTGCAGAAATGTAGTTTGGCACCTGGATGGTCTTATCTGGTTTTGGATTAATGATTGCTGTTTTTAAAACTTCCTCTTCTTTTTAAATTATTGGCATACAAATTCAGGTGATACTGTAGAGAATAACAGAAAACAGTGTATTTCACCTTATTTAAGGAACATGCCTTCAAAGATCCCATGTGAACTTTTTTTCAGGTTTACTTTATAGAGCAGAGGTCAAAATTTAGCTATGTGTTAGTACAGCCCAGTCAATTTTGTTTCCTGTGTGCTTTTTATCCTTGTGCAGAAGTGACCACTTGTTTATGATTACAGAAAGGAAGGCACTATCTTGCCATATATAACCAATTTTTGGTTTTGTGTCACAGTCGTGACAGTCAACACAGTGAGAATCAATTTCAAATGATTCCTCCAAAGTAATACAAGTGGTTCATGACAGAGTTGTAAATAGAAACCAGATGTATGTATTTCCATGCCACCATTTGACTAGAAATGCTATGGAGAAACATTACAAAGAAAGAGAAAAACTATACATAGATCAGTTGTCCAAATTAGATGATTACAAAATATAAAATATATAACTTTTAACACAGTGTTTGGCTCACAGCATCTGTTACAGATTCATGTATTTAGGATGTCTTTCAATTATCATTTTTGGCTGGAAAACAGAGCTTAAAGCAGGCACATAAAAGCAAAACAAAACAAAAAAATCTTTTAAATTTACCTACTATTCTGCTCAAATACTTAATATCCAGTAGCAAATGTACATGCTGCTACAGAAACAATGTCTTTAAATCATCAACCTTTGGACATCTCCATTTTTTTTTCTATAGTTAGTCCCCTTAAATGCAATTAATCAAATACTACTCATGAAAATCACTTTGTTAGCAGCTCTGAGACTGTGTCCGGTATGGTAGCCACCAGAGCTCCAAGTGACTGTTGAGCACTTGAAGTATAGCTAATGTAATCAAAGAACTGAATTTTAAACCTTAAAATTTTTTTACATTAATTTAAAATCAAATTAATTAAAAATCAAAGCAGCATTTTTTTTATTAAGCACAGCTTTAGTGTTTTGCAGGAATACTTTTTCACTTTAACCATTGCATCATGACAGCTATTATTATATTGTAGTACTCAGGCATGTGCACCGTTTCTATTTTTACACATTAACTCATTACTAATGTACTCAACTTATTATATCAATGGATTGATTCATTTTCAATGCATTTTTTTTTCTACACAGCAATTAAATTCTGTGTGTTCATTTGAATATTGTACCATGAGTTAGTCATACTTAGGTAAATTGTAATGGTAATTAAATTGAAATATGTGTTATTTTAATTATAATTAAAGTATTTTTCTAGTTTATAAATATGGACAAATTTAAAAATTTAAAGTGGAGGCAGGATACAATCAAGTGGAGATGCAGAAACTAGTTTGCTGTCATAAAGTTCACAATGAATGGCAATTGCAAATTGCTCTAGAAGGGCAAAATAAAATGTTTGTTTTGAAAAAAAATAAAAAACATTAAAGTGAATAATTTTAAGAGACATTTTTAGCAAATAGATAGTGGATATGATAAAAAGTATTCTCTCTGTTGTCAAAAAAAGAACTGATGACATTACCATCCGAAATAGGAACTAAATGTCCAACAAATAATTTTTTAATGATTTAACAGGTTCTGATTTGGTAACTTTGACCAGCTGTAGAATGGATGTCTTGGATTTTTGAAAAACCAAACAAAAGAAAAAAGAATATTTTAGATAGATAGTAAAATAATTATTTCAGTTGAAGCAATTTTGTTAGAAAATTATGAAAAAAGGCATATATATATATATAGAGAGAGAGAGAGAGAGAGAGTTTACAAAAAGTAAAAGACTTATAATTAAGCCGCCAAAGAATGCTTAGAATATAAAACATTTTTTATGTTATCGAAAATCAGTTGATTCAAATTTGAAAAATTGCAAGTACTTTTCTTGGGAAGAGTCATTTGTAATAGGGGAGATACTGTATAATTAATACTTTGGGTATCTTTTGTCTCAAAACACTTGCATATTTATGAAGAAAAGTTATCAGTTTGCAACCTAAAAAATTTCTCCTATGATGTAGACATTTTTAAACATTTTGCAATTGCATATGAATAAGCTACACTTGAAATTCCAAGAGAAAGAAGTTTATTTATAACCTGGTTAGACAAGTACGTACCAAAATTTATGGTGAGTTGAACCATTTTAAAATAATAATGATTTTAAACATTTCATAATGATTTATTATGCAAAATATTTTAATTTTCAATGTAAAATGAGTGTAAAAACTATCAGAAAATTTAAATAATCAATTATTAGTAATAATGGAGTTAGAGTTTCTTATTATTTTTTAATGTGGCATCTAGAAAATTTTAAATTATAAATGTGGCTCACATTATATTTCTATTGAACACTGCTCTAAGAGATAGCAGTGTGCTTAAGCCTCACTTTCTCTTCTCAGTGAGCTTATAATGAGGGAGATAAAGGTATACCGAAGTCTAAAAACCTAGAAAAAAGGCACAGCAAGTAAATGAGTTTTTTGGTTTTTTATTTTTCCCTAAGTCCATCCTATCCTAGAACAAAGAGTCCTCCTGTTTCAGGGAGTCCTTGAGATACATTCTGAGAATGGATAACATCTGAATTTTGGGGAAAAACATGAAAAACAGGAATGTAACGAGACCAGTGCATGGATACAATACAGTGACACATGTGCTGTTTAGATCAGATATTTTGTTTCAAAGGAGATAAGACAGCAAGAATGAAAAATTATAGACTAGGTTGTGACTTCTAATCTTGAAAATGCTACTGTATAAAGAATATGAACAGTACCCTGTTATCATTAGGGGCAATTAAGAAATGTTGAAAGAAGAATGGTCTGCTCATGTGATATTTCAGGAAGACTACCCTGGCATTAGGGTGTTGGGCGGATTAACTTGGAGGCCTAACATGAAGAAAGTGCTTCATTTTTGGCTTGTCAGTCAAGGTATCAATGTATAAACACATGGATTATGGTGTTTATAATGCACAAAAGAAGAAATAGATGTACGAATTGGAAGTAGAGTTTGATTTTTTTTTAAATAATTGAAAGATGTGTTTAAATAGGCCTTAGAGAGTGATGATATATGGGGAATGCAATACGGGGCTCAGCCAAAGATGAATGATGATTCCATTATGGCTGAAGTTAGAAAAAAGGTGTATTTTAAAAATATAGTAAATGCCAGCAGGTAGCTGAAAATATAAGACTTAGAGGAAATAGGTCAGTATCAGATACATATACTGGGAGTCTTCCTTAATGAGATGAAAGTTAGAATAGTGAGGAAAAACTTGTCCCCATGGGAGAAATTATAGGACCGATTAACAGACTGAAGATTGATTTTTAGGAATGTATTTATTTCGTGGCCAGAAGAATAAAGAACATCAGTTAATTAGATTTAGTGAAGTTGGAACAAGAGGAGGAGAAAAAAAGAAGATCTGAGTACAGGAAGGTAAATGGAATGAAATAGCTGAGAAAGAGAACATAGTACAGAACATTGAAAAAATCTGAGATGAAAGATCTAAGAACAAAAAAAAAGAGCAATGAAGGTGTAAATCATAAAGTTATTATGAAAGTTGTTATTTTATACACTTAATTAAGGACATATATTATCTTCTCATAAAAAATAAGAATAATGAATTCTCCCAGGAGACACTAGCAAGAAGAGAATCTGATGCTTGGTTAGTTTACTAAATTCAAGGAATTATTATAGAAAAATTCCCTAACTTGCTAGATTGCTGATCTGGAACTCTTGAAGTGGTCATAGTTAGCATTTCTACTATCTACCACCTGAAAGTTTGTACAGAGCTCTGTTCCACACAGAACTTTAGGGACTTGGGCCAACAGAAGTTGTGTCATCTTCTAGCTTTACCATC